TTCCAAACACTTCATAAAAAAGCCACAATGGCTCAGCGGAATGTGGCTGTGTGTGTATTGAATAAAACCAGTGTCATCTCATTTTAAAAACATATGATCTGTTGTCAGTGCTTTACTTTGAATAATTTTTTTATTGCAAGTATAGAATTTATAGTTTGAGAAATTTCAATTAAGACAGCACAGAGAACAATAAACAGACATTAACACTCTTGCACATTTGGTTATGCAAAACTGACAAATATAAAATTTTGCTGCAATGCTTACAAACTATTTAAAGCATGTACAGAGAGGGTATAAACATGGCGGGGGATTGTTATATTATTTCTTTTTAAAGTAAAAGATATACAGAGAAAACAGTTATGACTGGAAATAAATGGTTCTAAGACAGGAAATTTCCAATCTCTTAAAAGCAGTGAACACACCACATCCCAGGGCTACAAACTGTCCACAACACTGTTCAGTGTGAATGTTGGAGACCCTAAGTAGGCTTGTTTTTTTTAAGCAATCAGGTGGTTGCCGCTTTTTAAGGAAGTTTAAGGAAGCAGAGATACACCAAAAAAACAGGAAAAAGCATTTTACAGATATGGCTGCCGTTCATTTAGGTTGAGAGAGATTCAGAGAGCTAAGGTTTCAGCAAATGACAGAAAGGCTGAGTAAACTACAGCAAAAATGCACCAATATCCCTTTGCGCTTCATTAATTGTATAGGCTGGATATGGAAATATTGGACCTATTTTAGAAATATCAAGAGCTAAATTATGATCTGCACTACCTTACGAATACAAACAGACTGTAGCTGTAAGAAAGCTGAACAAAGTGTCAATTTTAAAACATTAGTGAAATCCTACTATTTGAAAACTGCTCTGTCTGAGAAATTTCAATTACTAATCCAAGAGTACCGGTAACACGAATCATAATTGATCATAGTAATTAACAGCATATTTTAAACTCAGGCTCTTTTTAGCCTTCAAGAAGCAAAGTTAAAAACCCAGAAAACCTGATTTTTTTGTGATAAGTTGCCTCAAAACAACCGGAGTTGTAGCTGATAAGAAATTTAGCGCTCTAATGGGGATATGAAGAAATATCTTTGTACAGATACATGGGTCAGGGGGATTACTGCAGCAGGGCGCGGCGACCTGAGGCAAGCCTGGTGGATTAATGGTCCTAATTGGGTCAGTCGTCCATGTGTGAACAGGCTACAGCACGTCGATGTTTATCCCTCAAACAACATTACTATATCCTTCAGCGCTACACTTCATCGATAGGAGAAAAAAATACTCCCGTTATTTCTACCTCTTTTAATATGAATCCAACTCTGGAGCAGAACTCGTTCCTCCCCGCAGGGATTTTCTAATGTCACCAACCACTTAGCCCTTACCAAAAGGACACTTGGTAGAATTATATCTGAAAGGTGAAGGTTTAATTGAAGCGGGACCTTTTGTTTGCATCAGCGTGTCACGTTGTTTATACTTCAACACTGGACAGAACACTAAGCATCATTTAGCTCTCAAAGATGTGAAAAACATTTAAAATGAGAAGCAGCACACATATGAGCTGAAGAATGAATAAGCCGTGCTTCTTTACTGCACGTAACATGTCTGTTTCTATGAAGTAAGGCTAACTGAATGCGTAGGTTATATAACAAGATGGACAGATACATTAATATCACTAACTGAATGAATGCTGTGGGTGTGGTGGAATCATTTAACATTTCAAACACCGATACAAATCACTATAACTGGCCATTACATCTCTCCTTTATAATGACATTAGCTCTGGTTGTTTCAGACATTCCTTTGAAAGAGGCCTTTGCTTATTTCCCGGCTGGCTGCAGAGGCCACGCAGGCTGGATAATCAATTTGCTGCTCCTCTGCATGCACCCAATCCCTGACAACCCTCTGTGCATTGTGAAGAGATGGGGAGAAGGAGGAGGAGGAGACGTGTTATCCTGCACTTTTTGTCCCCGGGCTCTCCCTAGCCCTTTCCTGTCGACATACGCACATGGATGGACACAAGTGCCCTTGAGTGCGCCACAATTGGGGGGGTGGTGTCATGGCCTCTCGCAAACATCTGTCAAACACCTACACGCTGACCAAGCAACTCCAGGAGAAAGGCCAGACTGCTTGCACTCCTATTTAAATCTGACACATCCCTAAAATAACACCAAAACACACACATTGTGTGTAGTCTATCAAACAAGGAATGCTTAATATCCAAAAAATTGAAAAAAAAGTTGAGTTAATGTTTTTTATTAAAGCTTACTACTTATCAAGCAATTTGAAACTCAAAAGTTACTTTACAATAATTTTGGAAACAGCGATGCAGCAATTAATCAGTTACAGATCCAAAGCAGCAGATGGTTTGCTCTGACTGGCGATGATCAATCTTTTCAATACAACATAGAAAAAAACTTTCTCATGCTTAAATATTTTTGATATATAGCACTAATTAAATAAGGTCAAAGAAAAATATCTGGTAAATAAAAAAAAAAAAAACTAATGGCTGCGTTTCTGATCACATGTTATATTACAGCCCTAAACAGAAAAACACAAGTTCTAGCCAATTACCAGATTGATCAGCCCTACCGATGGTCATGATCTTAAAAATCCAACTTGAAATATACTACAAAACAAATTTTTGAACAGAGAACTTAGAGTGATAGACTAAGAAAGTGGCAGGATAAGCTAATCCAAATTATTTTCCACTTGAACACCCTTTATTATTCTCTCCTATCAACTGGATTTGACAGTTTCCTCTTCATGTCATCAATCATGATAAACCCTTTCCCCATCCCTCTTATTATAATATAATAAATATATTATTAGTGCAAAACGCACCATCAGGAAACTGGTGAACACAACTATAGATATAAGTTTTCTTGGGGTTAGAGTGGTGTAAATTTCTGATGGATGAAGATGCTTTTTGTTCAAGAAACTGAAAAACGCACCAAGAGAATGCTAAAGTAAAATATGAAAAAACAATTACATTGTGAATAGATAAAACTGTATATAAAAAACATCAACTTTCTTGCAGCCTCAAACAAACTGTTAGGGACTTGAGTCTCAAAGCCAAGCATGCCAACCGTGATAAACATAATTTAGGGTGCTTGAGGAAATCTACTTGACCAGAGAGGTAGAGCACATCAACATGTTAGAACCTCGACATGTTTGACTCACTTGGTTCTGTTCAAACTCTCAGCATCCTAATAGGACACCATTCTTAGCATACCATCTGCAATAAAGACCTGATGAAAGAAGAGTATGGCTGCCTGCCAGCCTTTCTCTCTGTTCTGCAATCTGGCCATGTGATGGGGAGGTAGAGCAGGCGGTGCTGCAGCCTACTCCTCTCCCTTGCTTACACACTCCCTTACTAACCCCCTCCTTAAAAAAAAACCCTGCATATGCTATTGCAGTTCTGCTAGATACCACAAGTTCCCCTCCAGCTCCTCCGGGTGACATTGGAATAATGAAAACCTACGGATATGGAGTAAAAAGTACTGGGGATTTAACAAATCCTCTTTTTGGTAGACTCTGAGAGATAAAGAAAAAGTGAGCCACATCTAGAAGGGACACCAGATCTGATAGAAGATTCATACGGGCTTAGACCAATGAGGCAGATAAGACAGACAGGGGAGAGTTAAGAAAAGCCAGAGAGACTATTTTCCTCTCTCAGAAGCTGTCGTGTTACTGGGTCATTGAATGGTTCTGTTAGCATCAGGGGGGAAGATATTAATCATTGGACTGAAATGGGACAAATGACACCAACCTGACTAAGGAGGCAGCTAATACCTCACAGCACCTGATGACTCACAGTCACAAACAGATCAATCTAGTTACTTTGAATACAAACACATTTTTCCAGCCTTTATTCTTATTTAACATCTGTGTGTCCAAAAGTATGCCTCAATTACATTATCCCAGAATGTCACCGTCTCAACTAAAAACATTTATAATTTTCTGCATCGATATGTTAGCTTAAGCTTATAGTAATCCAGATGCTTGTTTCAACCCATCCTCCTCATGTTTCAAAATCATTACGGCATAAAATTCAAAACATTGGCATCAGTAAAACACGTTCTACTTGCTTGTGTCTAGAAAAACTTGTTAATGGCCAGAGGAAAAAAATAAAAAAAATCACAACCTAAACATTAGAAATCACGGTACTAGAATTTTCTCCCTATTAAAGATGTTCACCTAGTGGCCTGTAAATTGTAGATTTTATAAGTATTTATTTAAAGGCAAGTTATACAAAAAAGAAAACAGCTATTTAAAGTTCATTAACTTAACTAGTAGTTCTGATCCAAGTGAAATTACATTACAATATTGCCTTTATCTATGAATCAAACCTTGACCTTTATCCTGTAGCACATGCTGCCTGGTTGTCATCTTTTCAAACTAGGAATGACAGAACCTCTTTGTTTGCTACATTTAATCGATTAGGAATAAAAATTAGACTTGAGCAGCAAATTAGCTGATCAAGAAAAAGTTGTTTTATTTAGTTCTCTAGAGCGAATGGTGCGTCAACAAACAGTGAAGTAACAACTTTATCTAGTGACTAAATAACCTAATTCTATATCATTTTATTTGCTTCTGAAAAGCACTACACCAAATGCACGCCGCCAAGAGATAATGTGGTCATAAACTACAGAGCAACAACACTGGCTGTGATAAAGCTCCAGCGAGCTGGGAGGTGACTGCAGGTCAGCCTTTGTAATGACCCCTAGGTCCCTGCATCAGGAACAAACAGTGGCTTTCTCCCACAGACTCCTCAGGCATGAAGCCCCCCCTCCAGTGTGAGGGGGGAGAAATTCCCCTGTGGAAGCTTTTTATTCCCTTTCAGCCTGTTCTTTCTTCACCATCCATTCACTTTGCTCATTCTCCTTCCCTTTGCAAAGAGCCCCTGAAGAAAACACCACGTGGGAGGAGGTCCAGACAAACCTGCATGAACTCTAAAATGTGGTTCGTGTGGTGGCTCCTGTGTGTGGGACAGTAGAGTACTTACTTGTAGTGTTGCCTTGCATCTGAATGATACATTTTGACTCCTTTCCTATTTCCCTGGAGTTGAAGGGTCGAACTCGAACAGCAACTTTTACAGATGCCCCAGACATGCTTGCTCTTAGGGTCGGACTCCAAGTATGATCGTTTTTATATCCCTCCTGAAGAAAACGGACAAAAAATGGAAGAAAGAATCTGGTTAGTCAAAGGTATTTTATCGGAGTGAAAAACTAAATCTGTTTTGTATAGGCTCTCATTAGAAAGGAAGCAGTAGAGGAAATGCACTAAATGAATTAAAAATCATTCATCGATCAGTTTTCCGTTCATTTTATTGTGTTTTCATTCATGTGTTGGATAGTTGCTGATATATATATTGCACATTCTATAAATATTTCATATCAATTTTGAAAAATGACTCATATTTGTGCCAAAAGCAGGAAACTAATCACCAGCCACAAAAATATCTAGTTGTTTTTATAACATTTCTTTGATTAGGGATATGGTACCGACCTATCCCTCCCCATAAAAATACATCTTTGGTTTCTATTGCAAACAAAAGCATCAACATTTCTGATGATAAACGTACAGAAAATACTGATCATCTTAAACGTTTTCTTTTTTTAATTCACATTGCTTTTTAATTTAAGCGTTGGTATAAAAACCGGTAGATTCATATAAGCAGTTAATCTTAAAAAAAAAAATTAAAAAAATTTGTTGATTTACCTATATACTAAAATCCATTTATCTGACGAGTGAGCAGATGCATAAGAGTCGAAAACTTTAATTCATTTATGATTTTTTATTGGGGTATTTGAATATAACGTTAAATTAGAAAAATGAAATAAAAGATATGACAGGATATTTTAAGGTGGACTAAACGTGCGTTTTTAAAGGTAAAAATATTACCTATACAATAAGAAATGTGTTGAATGAAAAAAATGTTTATCAGCAAGTGCTTATTATACTAGCAACTAAAAAAAGACGAACGTTAGTTATAGATTATCAAGCATAGCATGGCAACATCAGTGATCAATTTTTAAATTAAGTTATTGCAAAAATATTGTTCTGAATTCTAACTTACTCATGACGGCTGAAACATTTTCATTTGTTTGTTTTTTTCTTTTTTAAAAACATGCTTTTCTTTGTTATATGCATAATGAAAATGGACCCCCCAAATAAAACGGTACTTAGGGCGTTATTCAATCTTTGTCCGTCTCTGGGGCTTCAAACCCCATCCTTCCAGTTCGCCTGTAGTCCATTTCTACACCAGATTCCTAAATGATCCCTTGTTTTTTCCATATTCCAGCAGTCAGCCATACTTGCTGAGGCATACGCCCATGAAATCCTATCTCCTCTTTCCTTGCTGTGGGGCTACAGCGGGACAACCAGCCGGGGGCCCCGTCTGCTGCATGTGACTCCGCATTAGTGCGAGCCTCCATTTTTTTTACATATTAAAAAATTTAATTCACCGACGTTAAGAAGTGGGCTAATCCTCCTCTGCTGAATTGTTAGAAGAGTTTGGAACACACTGTTCACATTTATTAAGCAGAGAAAAGGTTAATACCTCCCAAAGACAGTCGTTTTAAACGATAATTATGAGATTTCTTCATTGGAAAAACTGTTTAGACATAATAAAAGGTTACCGGCTGAGGCTTCTGTCAACATAACATGTAGTGTTAGCAGCTAAGCAATTACAGCTAAATGTAACGGTTTTGGACTCCTTTGCTAATATAGTCTAAATGATAACTGTTAACGTACATTACGTGACGTAACTATGTACGGGACACGCATTTCTATGACTAATGTTGCTGCTCACGAGCAGAAATTAATATGACATAATATATATGTATATTATCCACATAAAACATATTTTATACTCACGTTTGGTCACTCTGCCCCAGGCAGCACCACCGGGAACTAATGTTAGCTTGCGGGCGGTCGGGATGTTGTTGCCTTGTTTAATCAGAATCTGAACACACGTATTTTGCTACAGTGTCCGCTTCCGTGGAAAACACCCATTATAGCGGTATCTTCCGCCCGATGGATATGTAAAAATATGAGCACGGTGGCTCTGTGCGACTATCTCGTTTTTTTTGTTATTTTTTTTCCAAAGCCACGGGAAAAAAGCGGCCGCCCATCTGCGACCGTGCGAGAATGGAAATCGATGGATTGCCTTGATTTACCGAAGAGATTACGTCAACTGCTTTTCAGCGTGCCGACTGACAGACCAATGGTCCAATCAGCGCAAGGATTCGACTGGACTAGATGTCAGGGAGCCAATGGCGATCTTCTGAATCGATGTGGGTGGGTGGGGCCTCTCTTTTTTTTTTTTTTTTTTTTTTTTGTGTGACGCCACACTGCAGGATTTCGACCCCACCGCTCCCCGCACCGCTGTCGCCGCTTTACCAGGGTCACCGCAAAATAGCGCCCCCTGGCGAGGAATTAAATGGCCAACCCCAAACGATAAAGGCTTTCTGCACCTTTCTGGATCTCTTTCAAAGAAAATTAGAAAGAATAGGTTGTAGCAGAGTCGGAGTACCTGTTTTTTTTTTTCCAGTGCAATATCTGATCCAAGTTTTTTCAAAGTAATTTAGTTAGCTACAAACTTTAATTTCTTCACGTTTCAGAATTAACTATTTTCAAGTACAAGTATATATATATATATATATATATATATATATATATATATATATATATATATATATATATACACAAAGGGTAGAAAATGCAAGATGCATTTCAATAGATTAATAAAAAAATGCTATGCTATACATTTTTTTTTTTTTTTTGGAACAAACTGTCAATGGAAAAAAAAAAACTTTTTCTCATGCTCGGACATTTTTTAAGAACCATTATAGTATTAGGAATATCTGTAATCATCCCTTTAGCATATGCACTTAAGATTTAAACCAAGATATGTTTTTAAATCACACTTTATGTTTAGAGGTTTATTTCTATTACTTATAATCTAGCACAACAAACATCAAACTTTAGGGATGGGGAATTACTAAAAATGTAACAAATTGGTTTGAAATTGTTAGTTGATTTCAGGTATTAAACATCTGGTTTTCATTTACCCATTAAATGCAAAACTAAGAAGAAGTTATCAACCAACAACTTATCCCTCTATGCTCCCTTTTAAAGTAAGATAAAAATCAGATTAAGGACACCCATTAACCAAGATGTTGCAATTTTCTATTTGATGCAAGACCATCACAAAAATCTGCAATTATTTTTTTTCTTATTTTAAATAAATTATCTTAAACATCTGAGCCCAAAAACAACTTGAAACTGGTGTTGTCCAGGAAAAGTGTCACTGGTGCATCTATAATAGTTCTAATTGGCTACAACTTATAGTGATAAGAATGAGTTATTTTAAACAAGGATTTTATTTTATGACTGAAACACAACAAGGATGTGTTAAGCTATAAATTTAAGCATTCTTTAAAATATTATTTCTAATGTAAAATAGCTGTGTTCTATTCATGGTAAATTTCTTGATTTTAAAACACAGCAAATGAATGAATTTGTCTTGTTTACTGTGCGATGGTGGCTTTTTTAATAGATGGAACAAAGTGTTCAGTGCTTTGAAAAACTCAGACCAATAAAATGTTTCTAAAAAATATATATATACATTTTTCTGTCCTAGAAAAATTTGTGAATTTTGTACAAGTTTCAAGGCCCTCCAGCCTTTATTAATTGACTGTGTTTAAAATTACTACAAAAAAACCTTGCTGGCAAACTAAACCCCCTGTTAGTTAAACAGGTATTATTTAGTAAACATGATTATCCAACATATTCAAAACTTCACCCTCAAACCAATAACCTGATAAATCAGAGGAAAACACGATTAAGAATTGTGAAATGAAGGGAATTTGGCATTTAATTTCAAAGACTTCTCTAAAGTAAATAATTCCTGTAAAGGCAGAAAAGCCAAGGTACAGTAAATGCAGTGTTACATGACAGATTTTTAAGTATGGTAAAATTATTTGGATTCTACAACATCCCCCTTTCTATAACAGATATTTGACCTTGATGAGCAAACACGTTTTTTTTTCTCTCCAAAACATAGTTCAGTAAATCAGTCTTTTTAAGTCAGCATCAAAATGTAACCACCACACTATTCCACTTAAGTTCCTGCTAATCAATATCGAAAAATTAAAGGTCACTTCCTTTTAAAATTAAATTATGTTAGCCCAAATCCAGCTATTTATGGTTCCAATTTGTATTCATAATCACAGATGCCGCATATGTTATTTAACAGGCTACATTGGCTGAAATACACAAATTAGCCTTAAAACAATTTGATCATTATCCACACAGACTCTACTTTCCTTTTCATAAAGCCAACACACTTTTTACCAAATAGAACAAGCACTGTAAAGGAAGAGGATCAAAAAGACTTGCTAAAGTTTTTTTGGAAACTGTTTTCTGCAAATCTTCAATACATGAACCACCAACTATTAGCTCTAATCTGATAGAATTTACACAAACCCAAGAGACAAAGGTAAAAGTTTTTACTTTATTATGTTTTGTTTTTAGAACCATGAGAATGGTTTGAGACAAAAAGGGTAAATGCAAATAAAAATCCAATCAGGTTTTTTTTTTTCTCCATTCAAAATGTTGTTCTCATTGGTAGTAGTGACATTAAATTCAGATGATTTGGAACGATCCCTTCAAATCAGTGATCCGGTCAGACACCAACGCTGTGTTTCTTAGAGAGGGCGAGCACCCTGCTTCTCTCTCATCCAGGCGTGGATTCTCTCCTTCAGTTCAGGCACTGCATAGAAGCAACCACAAATAAAAAAAAGAACAGACTAAGAAGTGCAAACTGGAGAAAATGCATTTATTCACAAATAACTCAGCAAAAAGAAAAAAAAAATAGCCATCTTTATGCTGTTACCTGACTCCAGCATGCTCTCTGTGAGGGGCTGTCTGTTGAAGGGGTCAGTGGGGGAGTTCAGCAGGTGGCGCAAGATGATGGATCTGTCCATAATGTTCCCCGAGGGCAGCATCACAGGGTCAGTCATCAGTGTGTCCATCAGAGGGTCTGAGATAATAAAAGTTTAATGTAGAATGGTGAAAAAAACAGCAATAGACATTTACTTGGAACATAATTCTATTTTAATTCTAAAAATCAAATACATATATACTAATGTCCAGCTTAATGCCTCTATTTGTTCAACTCAACACCCTATTTTTTTATTGGGAGTGGTGTCCTATTGGTTAGAGCAGTGCACTTGTGCTCTAAGAAGGTTTTCAAGTATCCGGTTTGATCCCCAAAGCCTGCACCCTGGGTCCCTGAGCAAGACCTTTAATCCCGGATTACTCCCCAGGCGCCGCACAGTGGCAGCCCACTGCTCCCCAAAGGGATTAGTTAAAATGCAGAAGTGAATTTCTCCATTGTGAGATGATGTTCCATAATATTATTTTCCACAATTTAAAATTGCAAGATGATGCATGAAGTTTAGAATCTGACAAAATGTCAGGCAATTTTTTTTTACGCTAAATAAGGAAACAGAACATGCAAAATAAACTTTAAATATAGTTTGATTTAAAACACGTTTAGAAAAAAAAAAAGAGATGAAGTGTAAATCAATAAAACTCTTGGTCTTAACAGCAAAAAAGGTGCATCTTTTATATGACAGTAATATTACTCCACATGGAAAAACAAATTAACCTGATATCCAATAAAAAACGATGGTTGTTTTAAATTAAGTTGTCCCCTATATATTAAAATGTCACAGAGTTGTTAATGTGGGTCTTGCGGGTAAGAATAAAACCCCTCTGCATGATATTATAACCACGAAGACAGCTGATACTCCTGCCTCCTGGATGGCACACTCCTATCAACTGTGGTGGGACGGCTGACATATCTGGGAATCAAAGGAGGTATGCAGACCACATTCTCTTTGTGGATTATATTAAGTCTGTGGTCACAGGATAGCATTGCTCTAAGCTGTCTATATGATCTGCATGAGCTGCCAAAATCTACTGCAAATGTTTGGAATCCAATGAAGACCCTCTCTATCAGGGACTGACCTGGGGGTCACGCTGAGGTGGCTGTTTTCCCTCAGGGCAAAGGTTCAGTAGTGCATTGAATATAGATTAGGATTCCAGAGTTATCTTACTCCCCATTTACGCAGCATATAAACCCACTGCGTATTCAGGTTTGAATTCTTAAAATACAAGAGCTGCTTTCAGATGGTTTCTAAATGTCCCTGTCAGATCATAAGTCTCATTAAAATAGCTCTCATTCCATACAGGTGGCTTTAAAATTGTGCAGTCCCTAGAATATGAATATATGACCTCATCGGTTAGGTTTAAAATGCTCTTCCTGTCACTGCCTATGATTTATAATCTTAGGGTTCAAATTGATACATTCATTATTGCTCAGAATTAAATTTTGACTATCAATTTCATTAACAGTCTTATGATAATATCGTCTTTTATATTTTGGAGCAATGACATGTGAAACTGGGATTTAAAAACGGCCCCAATCATGAGGTTCGTATGACGTGTACAATAATAGAGTGAAGGCATATTTGCTCTCAGTCTAAGAAAGTATCTTGAAAATGTACGTGTCAAACTAGATGTATCTTTCACGTTACCTTGAATCCACTGATTCGCTGATCACCCCCTTGTGACCACCCCCCCTCAGAAATGACAATGCTTATAAAACTAAGGTTATATCAGATTCTACTTTTTAACTTCCAGTAACGGTGTTCACCTTCATTTTTTGTTTTGTTTTTAACAAGCACTAGGAGCAATTAGAAGGAGAAACATAACATCTGTGCTAAGTGTGAGGTTACATAGCATAAAGTCTAAGAGTGCAGTTCTACTTTTACTTTGCAGCCACTATTAAACCCCTAAATATTAGCCATGTTGACACACAAACCTTTGAACTCATCGGGTGCGTCACTGTAGTCCATCTCTGACTGAGAGTTTCTAGCGACTATTTCTTCCACCTTCTCGGACAGCAACTTGAATTTCTCAATGGCGATGGAGGACTTAATACCGGCCTTTCGCATCTTGGAAATCACCTCCTCGAAAAGTTCACGGCTGTATGATCGCTGCAGAGATAAATAAAAAACATCCACAACAAAACATTGATAATTTTAGTAAAACAGGGTAAAGCTGTAACAACTCCAAGCTTTGGGATTGTAAAACTTTTAATTCAGTGTTTGATGACAGGTAATGCAGTCTGGGCCA